CGACAAGAAGTTTATTTGTAGTTTGCCTGATAATGGTGTTGTTTGAAACACTCTATTTTGCAGCTTACAAGATGCTGCAGCTGGGAAGATGCACCCTAATATTGGAAAGAAATTTCTCAGAAAAAAACGTCCTTCTCATACAACAACACATTCACCATGAGTCCCTCACATACTGGCATCACGTATTGTTTACATTAATCACTCGACCAATTTTGTTTGGCAATGATATACTAGTCGAGTGCAGAAAGGCTCCTGCTGCTGCTAGTAAACAGAGCATGTTTAAATTTGTGGCTTGGCTCCAGGAAGGTTTATAGTCTCGGAAATACTTGTAACAGCTAAATACTGAGGTTACATCATATAAAAGGCTGAATTAGGTAGCCAACATTATCGTGTAATGACTCAACATACAAATCCACGTCCCTGTCAGTCAAGCCAATTTGGTGACCGTCCAAGCTTCCTTAAGCCTGGGCATTACCTTAAATTCATCTTGGTATTCTTTTTATGAAAAAAGTGTGCCTTGTAAGCCCTAAAATACAGTAACCCCAAATTCAATGGTTGGCCATATTTTGGATCAGCTGCCATTCATTTCTGGTTCTGCTACTTGAGCACTCTCGCACGTCTTGCCTGGAGGAACTCTCTTCCAGCTTCTTGCTTTCTTGTCAACTATGATGTTTGAATTAGATAGATAGCTAACATTATAGTGTAATGACTCAACATACAAATCCACGTCCCTATCAGTCAAGCCAATTAAGTGGTTGTCCAAGTTTACTTAAGCCTGAGTGTTGCCTTACATTTGTCTTGGAAGACACACACATTTTCTCCAAGGTATTTTTTAAGAAGAAAAAGTGTGTCATATAAGCCAGAAAATATGGCAATTTCAAGAGAAATGTTTGGGAGGTGTTTTTTTTTTTAAAAAAAGTGATTCAACAACAGACCATTTGTGTAGTCACCCATGAATGTGATTCCTATCCGTCACCTTAAGAATACATTTGGTTCAAAAGGCGAAATTCACCTTTGAAGGTTTAAATAAAGTCAATGTTCAAACCCTGAGGTCAGAGATTCAATATCCATTTGTCTGGCAGATGATATGCATTGCCACAATTTAAAAAAAAAAAAGAAAACGGAAGAAAAATCCAAGTTAAATGTCAGGCCGTTAAACTGAAGAATGTATTTTATTAAATTAAATTTATTTTTATTATTATTTATTTATCTATAAATTCATCATCATCAACAATCATTAGCATCATCAATGGTATTATTGAGTGAGAGACTATGTCAAGAAAGTGATACCGAGGCTGAATATACCTGTCATGAGACCCACCCTGATAAGGGTAGACCAGACAAATTATTAGCATTATTATTATTATTATTATTTTATTATCATTTATTATTATTATTATTATTATTATTTTCTTTGATTTCTGGCATTTACTCATTTCTTTCTGGATCCCGCCCAGGGACGTAAGGTTAGAAATGGCATCATTATTACATAGATAAAGCCCTTCGTAAAGTGTGGGCTGTACTTGTCAGAACAATTTTTTGTATCTCCTTGAGGCATGGACTTCCAGGAATCCCTTCAATAAGTCTACTGCAATCTTTTCCAACCAGTCCTAGGGTCCAACTACAACAGGGATTGTTGATGTTCCCATATGCCACATTTTCGAGATTTCTATTTCTATTATTATTAGTATCATTATTATTATTATTTTTATTATTATTATTATTAGTAGTAGTAGTAGTAGTATTGTTATTATTATTATTTTTAATATTATTATTACTATTTTTTTTATTATCATTATTATTTTTATTATCATTATTATTATTATTATTATTACTATAATATACATAATTTTTGAATACCGGTCGAACTGGGAAGGTTCATTCTCATGACTTACATTTGCAGGTGGAGGAATAACTTTCACTCAAAGTGAGCATGTGTGTGTGTGTGTGTGTGTGTGTGTGTGTGTACTTGCACGTGTGTCTGTACGCTCCACACACCTCAGAAATTTTGTTATTTACTGCAAAGTGCAGAAATTGATCCTCCCCTCCACCTCCTCCTTACTCTCAATAAGAACTTAAATGTGTGGGCGTTTCTCACAAACAGGTCATCCAGTAATAAAAAGACCTTGCTATATATATATATATATATATATATATATATATATATATATATATATCTGAGCATGTAAAATAGCTATCACATTTGAAAATCGAAGTAGATAAAAGCAATACACTTGTCAGAAAAAATTTAACTAAGTAAATAATTGTAAAATAAAATAAAATATTTTGTACTATTTTTGTTTACAGATGTGATATTTGTTTTTTTGCAACTTGTGCATATATATATATATATATAAGTAAGTTTTTTGTGGTACAGAATTTAATAATAGCTAGGAAAAGACATAATTTATATGGCATAAGAACAACCGGTTTCGTCCCAGGACTTATCAAGTTTATTTTTTCTGGGAATAAAAAATTTAAAAGTGTGTAAATTAAATTA